TTGTAATGCGTTACTTCCCCTATCTACTTTCAATATATATATATATATATAACCGCAGTTGCCTTGACAGCTTCTGTCGATTGCGCTCTCATTATTACACTGTTACACGAGGTGTTTCGTCGTTGCTCCTTTTTTTTTCTTTTTTTGGTTCGAACAAGTGATTCGCGCGACGAGCAGTATTTTCCTGTAAATTGCTTTCCCTTCGAACTGCTCGGGTTTGGAGTTCGAAAAACTGTATTTTTTCAAACGTGTACTTAATGTTTATTATCTGTGTATGGCTATCGATCTCCGACGCTGAGCAAGCATAGCAAATCGGCTTTTTACTTAATAAACTATGGTTTTTTTTATCGTTAATCGATTTCATTATTATCTTTTTACATTTTACGTGTATATATTGCGCTTAGGCATTTATTTATACAGTTTGCTTCAAAAAGAAAAATAAAAAAAATAAACAAGAGCTAGGAATATATACATAGTATTTTATTTAGGGAGTGTGCGAGTGAATTGCGAGTGTGCGTGTGTGACTCATCACTTTTTAACTGCCGAACATTAATGGGACGACTGAGATGAGAGAGTGTAATCGTTACGTAGCAAAGAGCGATTTTTGTGATACTACCCAGAGAAAAAGAAAAGAAATCCTAAATTTTTGTCCTTCGCCGTTGTATGTTCTTTCCCCCTTCCAACGTTCATTTCACGCCTTTCACATCTAGTGTCATGCTGAGCAATAGTCTACGTTCACCCTGTCCCCTTGCCCCTTCTACTGCGATTGTTATTATCATACGGACTTGTAAAGTCTGTCTTGTAAAATTTTTAGAGAGAGCGACTGATTATTGTCGGGTTATTCTACGTATGTATAGTAGTATTAATTAAAAAACAGGTGAACAGCAAACAGTGCATTGTTTCCGTTGAAATAAATTCGTTGAAAAATATTATTCAATATATTCTTATATTATTTTTGGAAACCCTGCTTTAGAAATGGTATATTGATTATTAAGAATGAAGAAGGAAAATTGGCAAAATTCGTGTAGGATAGAAAAATAATCCATGGAAGTTCAACAGACAAATAGTATTCTTATGTATTTCACGCACATATTATGTACAACAAAATAATTTATCTCTCAAAAATACGTTAATTGTTCGGAAGGGTATTTACAGATTATAGAAAAATAAGATACAGAGCTTTAACTCATCGCGTAAAAGATTATTTTATCGATAATGATACAATTCGATTGATAGGTCAATCCCATAACTTCGCAGACAATGTCGGCAATTTCCCGCCTAGCCTCCATGATTTTGATGGACCTTTGAATGTGATTGTTCAGAAAATTGGAATAAAAGAAACTAGAGCAATAATTGCCATTGAAAGCTTCGATATTGTCGATAAATTCCTCGTTACGCGCATAAATGGCAAGCTTCTCTTTGCTCTCGATGAGGAGATCGAATAACGTCAGCGATTCGTACACCTTGATTTTCTTCAAGTCTTCGAGTTGCTGCCTGCACTCATCAAAGCGGCGTTTCAACTCTGAATCAAATCTAATTGTATCTTCGATGCTTTGAATGATAATCGGGGTTCCTTTAGCCTCGAACAATACCAATTGGGCAACGATGGGCGCTGAAAGTTCGCGTTTCCACCAGTCAGCCATGAACAAATTCTCGTTCCTCTTAAGAATCACGTCGGAGCTTAAGAATGTCAGCAACACTGTGTTGAGCCGATCCAAGAGACGAAGTAAACATCGGCGCCGTACGTCAGCAGTAGCTCCACGCACTTTAGAGGATCGTGATTCCTCTTTCGCACGTGCTCCGGTGGACAGATGGTCACTAACAGCGGCGTGTGATTGTGAACGGTAATGGCATTCACGTCGGCCCCAAGCTCCAGCAAACAGCTCCATCAGCTTCAAATTGCCAATCATCGACGCGTTGAACAGTATGCTGATGCCGTCTTTATCGCGAGCGTTCGGATCGAATTGTTTGCCCCGCAGTTCCTCTTTCAGGCGTTGATTGTTTGCCAAGATTGGATTTAGCGCCAGATAGTGCATCAACGTTCTTCCATGACTGTCTCTGGTGCTCAAATCAATGTCAGACCGAAGCATTATCAAAACAGCGCCTTCCTTGCCATGATGCAATAAATTACCTATCTGAATGATGCCAGACTCGTCGCTCGTAGTGAGCAGTGCGCTCTTTTTTAGTATGATACCCGTGATTTCTAAATCCTTGTCTGATTCGCCCCACATACCACACGAAAAATAAGGTAATCTACTTTTAAAGTCCATGGCGTCGATACTAGCACCGTGCTCCAAAAGTAGCTTGATATTTTCCGAGCTCGCATATTCGAAAGCCACGTGTAGCGCGGTTTTACCAGTTTCGGAATCCACGGCATCAACGGGGCAGCCCTTTTCCAACATAATTCTTATGACTTCTGGATCGTGCAGGTAAGTCGCATGCCTTAGTGGGCAACCTGCATTCACTAGTATCAGAGCAATTTTTGCACTATCATAGCAACAGTCTTGCTTCACTTTGTGGAGAAACAGAGCAATGATCTGCGAGTGCACTGAACTCATGTTGCAAACCACTTGAAAGACACTTTTCCCATCATTATCACAAATGTGAATATCAGCATCATAATTCATCAGAAGTGTAATGATCTCTGTGTGATTATTCTCTACAGCTAGCATAAGTGGAGTTTCACCTTCGTCATCTTGAGTATTGACATCAACATACTGGTTCAATGAGTAACAGGCAATAGGAAAATTACCATATTCAGCCGCAACATGCAATAAAGTTTTTCCGTATTCGTCAAATACAGTGTGTGGGTTTACACCCCTTATTTTTATAAGAGCTCCTTGGGATCTACCTTTATGAGATTTAAAAGGTGCTTTGACTCCTGAAATATCAAAATTTAAATTAACTTAAGTATTCAAAGTTAAATATCTACTATTGATACATAGAGAAACTATGTGTTACATAGGTTACATGGATATCAAATAAGATAGCCCTACTTTCTGGATAAAAAAAATTATTAATCTTATTAATTCAAAATTATTTACATGAAACTATGTTCATTTTTATAGTCAAGACAACAAACTGAATAGTTGATTGGTATCGTAATAAAAATATAAATGAACTCACCGCCACCATTTCTTTTCTTCTCCTTTCTACACAGTTCTGCCGGATTAAGGCAATTTTTGATTTGAACCATGCTGCCATCGTTACAGATTAATTTATTTCATTTATTAATGATAAGCTGTTTGAATTTACAGACTTTACAACCACGAATTTATTGTTTTTCTTCTTTTCTCATGAGTATTGAGTGTGTTTGACTGGTAAATAAATTTTCACACATTTTGATATCCAGTTACTTACTACCTACATACTCCCACTAATGTACACAAGCAGAAAATATAATAAATGATAATCAATATCAATATATTGTACACTGTACGACGACAACAATATCGTATCGTATAGTGCGTGCGCATCTTATACCAAAATCACTTGGCGATCTTGGCATATCAGCGTTTCAGATAGACACACCGCCATCTAGAAAGAAAGAAAGGAAGAACGTCAAAGCCACGTGGTGTACAATATGGCGATGCTTGGCGCTCAAATTTAAATTAAAAATATGTCAGATTAAAAATATTTTTTTTCAAGATTTTTATCTAATAAATAAAAATAAATATAAACTTTTGTCATTTATATAATATAATGATATTAATGAAAAAAAGTTCGTTTATATGAGTTCCGTCTAAATAATACATGTATAAAAAGTATAGCTTTGCAACAGTGAAAATTTCTAATCGCATAATTTTGATGTTTACTCATATTTTCGAGATCGCTGATCACGAGTACAACATTTTTATGAGTACATCTTTGAGCTTATAAAAAATAGATTTATGTATAAATAAAAATTAATAATAAAGGAAATAGCCACAACAAACGTAGTAGCCTTTTGATAATATTTTTCTGCCAATGAAAAATATCAAAATCGCTTAACCGCTTCATTTGTGGTTTTCTGCAATGTTTCGATTTTCAATTGTTTATATCAAACAATTATATCAAACGAACTATGAATCTCGATTAATAGTTTATTTATTTATTTATTTGACTATGTAAAATTAAAACAAAATGTTTTCCAACGACGAATCAATCTCATTATTACTTAATTCAACATTATTCGCATTTAATTGATTTATGAAAATTATTTATCATAACAGTGTTCTCTTAAAGTTGTTTTTTTTCGAGTTCTCCGTTTTGCTTCCGTCAAACAACTTTCGTCGACACAAATCATAAAATTGCGATCGATTCTTTTTTTTTTCAGGGAATCCATAAATTTGAAAATATACTCTGACCAATGCACGAATGGCAACAAATTAATAGTAATCACCAGGTTAATAGATTTCAGCCAGCAAACATATTTTCAGTTGTCGTTGAAGCTTGCATCGTTTAAGATTCTCACCAGTTGTTCAATAGCTGATTTGAGAAGCCTATCATACCGTAGATCGGACGCCAACAATGCTCGTCAATCAAACAGTTACCGTAAGTATTGTCGTGATTGGTTGGAGGAGGGGGGGGGGGGGGGGTATTATTCCCGTTTGTTCGCGCGGACATTGATCTCTATCATCGAAGTTGAGGGAACTTATATTTTTTTACTATAAAGGCGGGCAAGCATCAACGCCACTTCATAAAATTTCGTATATCAACAAAAACCAGTGCATCACCAGATGGCACAATACTCCACACTTTGCCCCAATTATGGAACAACTTCAGTGCGGGTTTAATTTTCAATTCGGTCACGGCTTCGAGATAGTTATAATGGTACTTTAGTGACTACTTCATTTGTACTGTAATCCACCACTTTACCACTTTACATCTGGATCCACGGGGTTCGGGTGCCAAAAATTTCGCATTCATCGGCAAGGTCGTTTTATTTCCATTCGTAAAGGTACACAATGGTCGATTGCAAAATATGGATCTTTCGTTGCGTTCACTGAGGCGATTACGACCGTGACAACTGCCACTGCTTGTGTAATTAATAGGTTACTCCACTTTTGCTCCATTAATCAGATTTCGTATCTCGTAATCTGGTACAGATTTCTTATAACATATTTTCCGTAACTTTTGAGAACAAGCGGACAATTTATCATTGCTTTCCTCTGTCGATTATCTGCTTGATTATTTCTATAAGCTAGCATCGAACTTGATGTAATTTTGATCAAACGAATTTTTTATCTCATAAGCAGTACATGTATTGCATGTTGAAATAACTGCGATGAGAGCATTTTGTCAATATTTAGAATATAAACGTACACATGATTAGAAATATAAGTGGGAATCAAATGTAATTTTTTTTGGTTTGCTTACAGAAAACTTTCTTCATAAATGTACGAATGAAAATATGAGTTATAGTTTGCTTGTCGTATGCTCATTAATTACTGATAAATCACATCTCATTGGAGAAACAATAATCATTACTACGGACGTTACTTTTTATTTCCTTAATGTGTTCATGACCGATGTGTTATTGAGTGTATTCAAATAAAATAGTCGTGAAATTGAGTTATATTTTATTCTTTTATGTTAAAAGAAATCAGTCATCTTGAGAATATTAACTATATTTATTTTTTGCAATACGTCAAGTACTTTGCTGGATAATGACCTACCTACTGATAAATCTCAATATTTTGATTGATAACATATTATTGAAACAATTTATGATTGTGACATTGTTTAAAAATGATTAGGTTATATTTTTTAAATTATTTATTAAAAAAATTATTTTACTAATATTAACGTCAACGAAGACCATAAAAAACATAATAAAACTATCCATAAAAACTCAAACACAATAATTTCAAAGAAAATATCTTCATTCCATCGGATAGATGAAAAAGTTTAGGTGATCAATGAAGGTTCCCATAGAATAGAACTATTTTACGCAACTTTGGCCTAAAACATAAATAAATTTTATAACGTAAAATAATATTTGTTAATAAAGTATAGAACAGAAAACGATGCTTACGCCTGCATGAATAGCTAAAACTCCATCATTTTCGTCGGTACGAATTTCAATAACAGCTTCTCCATTTTTATCAACTTTAACAGACTTGCCCGTACAATTTCCATCGATGAAATCACCAGTTATAACATCACAGTAAGTTCCAGCAGGTAAGCACACTTGGAGTTTGCGTTTCAGATCCACAATGTCGTCATTCATGGCAAAGAATCCTCGATCACCTCGACAGAATGCAATTTGGTAATTGCCATTATCCCACCAGTTGCCTAATTTCGTGGTGGCAACGTAATTTCTGAAGCGAACCATGTTGTAAATCTGACGCCAGCGGTGCTCGCAGACCCAGCCGTTACCGCAAGTGTTATCAGCCCTGATCAGAGGCGAAACGATGTTCTCGTTTTGATCTGTCGGTGGACCCTGATCGAAGCTGACAAAGTCGAACGAACTTATAACTTGCGGTAGTCCATAGGGATGGGCAAGCATGAATGCGATAGCCATCTGCAACGTGTCATTATATGGCTGAGCTACAGCATTCCAATGGCATTGGTAAAATACCTACCTTGTAGAGTTTCGAATCCTTATACTTCAGAGGATTATCACCGCCATTTCGTTGGCTGTCGTGGTTATCAATGAACGTCAGTGCATCGGTAGAAGGCAAAAGACTCCATGCTTCGCCCCAATTGTAGAACCACTTCAGTGGATTTCGCCTACGGATCGCGTTGCTAATCTCCTGGCCGAATTTGAATTCCATGACAACTCCGATTTGGTTGTACTCTTTTTTGCTCACGGCTTCCCCATTCCCGTAATCGATAACTTCTTGATAGATGAAGGGTTTAGCATTTGGAGCAAAACCATGGTCTATCCTGAGATTATCGAGTTGCGAATAGATTGCTGCGAGGTCTTGCGGCCACATGTGCTTCGCAGCGTCAATGCTAAAGGAAACATTCGTTTTTCAAACACTGCACAACCGGAAACTTTTATGATATTCACCTACCGGAAACCAGCAACACCCATATCGATAATTTTGTTCATCAATTGCACGGCCTTTCTTCTTACGTATTCTTGACTTTGGTCTAAATCGTGAAGACCGACAAGTTCGCAATTTCTAACGTTATACAGATCCTGATAATTCGTAATTTGGCAAATGGGGTGAAAGTGTTCCTTTTTGTAAGGCACTTCTGGGTAATCCAAGTTGAAGGGGTCAGCCGTTGAATCGTTGGTACCGACGGCATTCTTATGGTTACCGGTCATATGGTTCAGCAGAATGTCGACGTAGATTCGCACGCCCGCGTTGTTGCAACGTCTAACCATTGAACGAAACTCCTTTTCGGTACCCGATCGAGTTTCCAACTTGTAAGATATGGGTTGATAGCGTTCGTACCAAGGTCGATATTTAATTTTAACGTTTTCCGTTATTGGTGATACCTAGAATAATAGCATAAGTGCAGATAAGTTCAAATTATCTTCAAAAATATTTAATCTGTGGCCTTAAAAATTTATAGAAGAAGAATAAGTGATACATAAAAGTTCTTCTTAATTTTTGCTAATACTTTCTTTCATTTGATAGTAAAGTATAGTAAAGTTAAACCATAATTATATGTAATACAAAATTAATTTCGTTTTCATTAATACTTGACAAACAAACAATAATAATGGGACCTGAATAAAATATGAATAATATTAGTAATTTACCTGGACTCCACCGTAGCCCATCGGTCCCAAAAATCTTTCGCACTCATCAGCAATCTCATTCCACTTCCACTCAAAAAGATGCACCATGGTGGTGCTGTTTTGAACATAATGTGGATTCTTTTGTGCTACCAGTGGAGCAATCGTAACAGCAAAGACTATGAAAATCATACGTAACATTTTTCCTCGACCAATTGTTGATTGGTAGACTGAACATTTAGCGGCATCGAGTCGCGCTTTATATGCCTACTTGCCGCTCGAGTCTTCCGAGAAACAGAGGCACGGCCAACTCGTTATAGTTTTTCTATAGGTGTATCAATTATCTTATCGCTTCGGAGCCGTCGCACAATAATCGACGATACCGTCATTTTTTAATTGCATTATCCAATACGTTGATCTCAACAAGGCCTCTCTCTCTCTCTCTCTCTCTCTCTCTCTCTCTCTTCCTCTGTTCTATTGATTAAGAATTGATGAATATGAAAGTTCATATAATAAGCCATGAACGAGAAGGTGTTATTTTCGGTGGTTGGCAGATTATCAGATAACAACTGATGACTAAATTTACGTTAAACGGGTCAACGCTCAGCTACATCCACTTGAATGTGCTTAATCCCTACTGAATTTAAAGCTAGAATTTACTTCTCGAAAGTAGTTCCTCTACAAAGGAAAGATGACAAAAGCGCCGTTTTACCTACCTCCAGGATCGAGAAAAATAATAAATATTGATGTGTTGTGTGACATTGACTAATTGTCTACAAATACAAAAACATATGTATCATTATGTTTTCAACGGAATACGCATACATTACTACTGATTAAGTATCCAACGTATATATAATAATTGGCGTTATGTGTTTTCTCGGGATAACAATTGAAAGACAATTATATTTTTATAGTTCTTTGTGAATTGAATTAAGATACCGTGCTAAAATTTTTACTAATAATCCAGAACTTTCAACTTATTTTAAAGTATAGTGTAATTCGTTTCAAATTTCATTAATTTCCAATTGATAAAATAATTACATTTTTAGTTTATCCAGTGATAGCATATTTTTAATTTGCATTAATGCATTCTATCATAGATGTTGAATAATTCTCGATAAGAAACCCCAATTGAAATATAAGCCATTGAATCTTTTGTTGCCTAAAAAACACTTTAATGCGTGATAAGGAAATAATAAAAATTAATTATATCCATCATTTACTTACTTTCTTGAGGAAAATCTGAGGATTTTATAGCTTATGCAAAATTTTTTTGAGAAAAATCAAAGAGTGAAATTAAATTCATGCACTTATTTCACTTATAATAATCAGGCTTCACAATATAAAATTTTCCGTTTATTAATATTTCCATCTCAGTACACGAATTTTCTTTAGAACAGAAAGATTTCATGAAAAAATTTATTTTGCGCAAAAACAACTCAATAAAATAACGTGAATATGATATTTCATATGACATCATAAATAAAAATCATGTTTTAATCCTATTAAAAATATACAAGTAGGTTTCCGTAAGGATTTCTGTCTAAAATAAATCCCTGTGGATATTCACACTGATTTCCACCTGGATTCTGTATGGATTCTGTGATATCACACTCTAAAATCAGACTCAATTCGCCGCATAAATTCTATATGGATTGTAAAGGTATTTTATATAGATTTTGTGCGGATTCTAAGTTAAATCAGTAATCACATTTTTTTACTTAATTTTACTTTTTCAATTAATTTTAAAGAATAAATAATCAGTAGTTTATACAAGTATTTTGATTTCAATATAGTATTTATTATATATTTATATACATCATTTGTTTTCAAGATTTTCTTATGTGATTTATGCTATTTTAAAAACAAAAAAAACATAATAAAATTATAATGTGTAATACATGTTTGAAATGAAAGCTGAGTCAATAATGAAGCATATTTGGTTCTGATGCGATGTATTAAATATTGCGAATATCGAATCCGAAGAGATACGAAGTGAAGGCAATGGTCGCTGCACAAAATAATGATTGATAAATATGGCGAAACTAGCGATCCTATTAATTTTAATGCTGATACTTAATCTGTTAAAATTTATTTAAGTACGTTCAATATTTCAGGATTTCGGACAATTAATACTAATTATCAACGCTTGTCTTCTTTCTTATTATTTCTTTTCATTGCATATTCAGGTAACGTCATTTTATGATGATAAAGAAATTTGTTTTGATATAGAATTTACTGATTACAGAACATTAGGCAGAATATTCTATTTCCTATAAATTTATCATTCTAGTAGAGATATCGATATTATCTATTCAGTTCCGATTTCGTTTATTTAATAACTCTTCCGCCACTTCAAAAAATTACGTTTAATATTTTCATTTATTTATATTAATTTTTTTTAGTTATTACATTTTAAATAATACTCATTTTGATAATTCATCGGAATGATATTTTTACTCATGATATCATTTTACTTAATTCGTTCACGAATGAATTAAATTTTAGATTACTTTTCGTATGTGGATAAATCAATTTTATCACATTACCAGTCAAAGTTTTTTGAAAAAAGCACAAATCCTCATTGTTTTGTGATTAGCATACATTGATTAAGTAACACTTTTGCACAAGTGCGCTATAACTTTCATCCTCATATTTTTTAACTAACAATGTTTTAGGAACTCCATATCGCAATGGAAATGAAATAGTAATTAACGTACACGTTTAAAAATCCATGTTTGTCATTAGAGTATTTATAAACGCCTATATAATTTACAGTCAGATATTAAACCGTCAATATTAAATAGAAAAATTATTTATAAATAAAATACCATATATAATTTAAGGTTATTGTCCTGTTACATTTTAATAAAAAACGATATTTATGCATTAAAATGTCGTCTACAATTATGTTCAGAACAATATGAAAACGTCAAATCCACGAAAGCTCTAAAAAAGTATACTTTTTTAAGATAATTAAACCTCCTGTTGATTTATAGTTGTATCAACTATAAAAGCCATCACTGATTTAATATAAAATCTACAGGTCTAGACTTGTTCAATAAGGCACCTTTGTAAAAATTACGAAATTTAAAAATCTTGACTCTTCTCATTAAGAATCAGTGCACAGAGTTTAACATTACATATTTCTTCTGAATTATAGAATTAAAGAAGTATGATATTTGCAATGACTTACTGCTAGTAAACGTAGCGCAGGCAATCTCATACACAATGTCGAAGATAGCGAGAATCTTCGAACAAAGCCTACTGCTTTTATATACATTGACTGTCGAACACGTGTTCGCTGGATCTTTCATCTCTACTTGCTTGTACGACGACCTCAGCACGTTCTCGATGGTTTGTTGTGTACGTATTCTCGACATGAGATCTAAGACGTTTGCATACTCCGTCTATAAGGTCACTGATCGGGAAGAAAAGAAGAAAAATATAGGAAAATAAAAATATTCCTAATACTTCCAGATACACTTTTGCTATCGACAATTTCATTGTCGTTATTTGATCGTTATGCTTCACAAAGAAAACTAATTCGCTTTAGATTTATTCAGTTATCTATAATATAATTTTTGATCTAACAATGTTGTTATGTTACTATACCAATTATATGTTACTTTAATAAAATCAGTTGTAAATCTAATTACAATTAATGCATACTGAATAAATTATACGAAAAATTTGCAAAGCAAAAATTTTTTTATGAAGATCCTCATTAGTAGACAACTTTACATCAACCAGCATTTCTTTCGCATCATTCAAGTCAAGTCAAATACATTTCCGCGCCATACTTGCTATACTAGCGCTACGGTCGTCTTTTTATCGAATCAAATCTGAAATTGCTCAGGATAGTCTACCTTCTACGGTAGGTGCGTTGGTAGTGCTTGAAATTGCAAATGGTGAAAGATTAGTCGGTGTGGCTCACACGCCAACGTGCTAGGTGCTGGGCTAGCGTTTTCCCTGCCGCGGTGACGTGCATCGCAGCACCGTACGTGTTTTATAAACAGAAAGAGACTCTAAAAACGCAAGCTAAGATGAGCAGCTAGCGTTGCTTCGATCAAGTATTTCGTGGGCTCACAGCCTTGATTGCAAACAAAACACAATAACAAACAACCATCCTGGTTTCCTTTCTCTTTTTAGTCATGTAGTCGATGTGTTTCTTGTCACGCTAAATTACGTTTGAACAATCGGTGCAGCGCTGCAACATGACGAGCGCGTTGCCCGTTAACGGATTTATGAATTCCAATAACCCTCAACCAGCTCTTGGTGAGTTATGTGCAAATTTTTCTCATCTTTATTAGTACTCGTTTACCTGTTGCTCTTCAGTAATCCATGAGTGATACTAATAAACATAATAAATCAATGATTACAGCTGAACAAACGACCGGCGGAGGGGTCGTTCGTTTAGACAAGAGCAAAGAATGGCAAATGGAACTCCTGATGGAGAAACTACGCTCAAAGGCTTCCTCATTCAAGTCTTTGGTGGAGAGCGCAAAGAATGTTCGTATGGCTATGTTGGTAAGTTATAAATTTCATTAAAATACAGTCTAATGGAAAGTATCACATTTACAATTGATTGATTTATTTGTTTTCTTCCAGGAAAAAAGGTTTGGAATTGATAGTGTTGAAAAAAATCAGCTTCAAAAGTGCTTAGATACATTGCAGCATTCGATTAAAGTTACATCTTTACAGTCTATGATTGAAAGATTGGAAAGTTTATCTAGACAGTTAGGGTAATATATCTAATATTTTCTATGCAATATAGAAATTAAGTTATTTTACTTTATAACATTTGCAATTTTTATTTCAGATTAAAATTTGTGATAACTACTACTATACCAACAATCACTCAGTTGTTCATATCTTCAGATATGTTTTATCTAGAAATTTCATTAGAACAATCAGGGGCAGTGAAGGATGTAAAAATTCAGCATGAAGGCAAGCAAGAACAGCAGGTAAGCATCATTGTAATTTCAACTTCAGAATATCAAGATTTAAATAGTTAATGAGTGATCCTTATTTTTAGAGTTGTGAAGAGTTGGTTGCTTGTCTTTCTCAAGGTGATTTTGCTGATTTTACAGCTCAGCTTGAGGGTTTTGCATCAATTTATCAACTAAATGCTGATAAGAAAGTAAAAAGCAGAGCTTTCAGTGCATTACAATCTCTAGAAACTGATTTAGGAATTTTAGCTCAACTACAAATATTTATTATCTCTCAACCATTTAATGCTGTTCATAAAAGTCCTGTTGGTAAGTGTTATATTCTTTTTACCTTTTGTTCTCAAGTATTCAAGTTGCAAAATAAACCAATTTAACTTTTTAGGTGTTCTTGAGAAAAGGAAAGGTGGACATGCAATGAAGTTAACCTACTTTGTGTCTCCGTACGATCGAATAGATTTAGAAAACAAAACTTGTGAACCTTTAAGCTTGGAGACTGTGATATCAAAAAAAGTCGGACATTCCGTTACTGTTTGCATGGAAGGATCTACAGCTCATAAATTACCTACATCAAGTATCATTACTTTAAACAAGGGTACTACAGGAATAAGGTAATGTACTAATGATTTTAGTTATTGTATAAGAAAAAAGTAAATTTTAAACTTTGTTAATTGTATTTACAGTACACCTTCATATGCTCCATTGACAGGGGCAAATTCATCAATGTTACCTGCTTGTTTCGTTTTAAAATTAGCTAAGAAAATGCCTATGTGTTTAGAACTGATACGTCGGATACAAAAAGTCACAGAACTTGAGTGCACTGACTTATCAGCCCCTCATCCTTTATTAAGTCTCATTGTTCAACACGCTAGTGATAAACAGTTGGATTGTCAGCATAATAAGGGTCTTGCAGTTGTAAGTAACACAAACTTTGCTTATTGACATATTTTAACTAATGAAACGTTACCAGTAATTTATATAATAATAATTATTTCTACATACTAGATCTCATGTTTTCAACTTTCAGAGTCTTCCAGATCAGCAACATGTTTACTTCATGACAGAGAACAAAAATATGGAAGGCGTGCTAGTAGGCAGTATACCCTTCACACATCCAGGTCACGTTCCACGGATCCTCAACTTCCTTCGTCAACAAGCCTTATTCAATACCCTCATCTCCAGTTGTATAAGGCCGATGGCAAGATCTGATCCAGAACATACTACGATCTTTGAAGTGAGCGCTCTGTCCTGGCAGTGTATATCTATTAGCTTGGAACATCCATTTGAGGAAACCTTAGCTACAGCCGAACTCGATTTATCGGAAATTGCAGCACTAAAATGCAAGCTCTACGGCGTGAGCATAAATAACTCGGAACAAACGTCGGATTTAGCAGGCAGAGTACTCCAACATTGTCTCAGTATTCCCTTAACAATGCGTACCCTTATCAAAACTTGGGAAACCTTCATGTTGAACCCGCAGACGATTGGCGGCAACAGTAATGAGGATATCAAGAATAAAGAAGAACCAGGCACGATGAATGGAGCCAACTTATCGAGCCGACAGCAGATGCAGCAACAACAGCCCCAACCGCAGAATCAACAACAGAATCAGCAGCCAACTCAACAACAATCGCAGCAGTCTTTTTTAGAGGCCGGAACGGAGAATAGTATCGGGTTTCCGTCATTGTCCGGCCCCACCGTCTCGGCAGCCGATACGACCCCGCACAAGTCGACGTCGTCGTCAACGTCTTCGTCATCGTCGTCGCGCAAACAGCAGCGCAAAGAACAGCAAACTTGGCCAAAGATCAAGAGCGAACCAGGCGAGATTGTCGCCGTGGATAGCTCGAGTTCAGACGGCTCAACGACCACGCCACTTGGTACACCAACGAGCGCAAGAACGCCAACTCCAACATCTGCGCATAGCGGGGGTATGGATTTGTCCAACATCATAGATCCTTTGGAGATATTGCATACAGATAAGACTATAGAGTATGATATTGACACCGAGGAGATAATGCAGGTTGAGCCTGTTGTCAGTGTCGAGGAGGCTCTCAAGAGAAAAATCAAAAAGGAAAAACTGAGTCCTACAACGATTTTCGAGGATAACAAGAATTTAGTTTCGCCATCAGTTAGCATCACGCCGATTTCCAGTTCGGGACAGAATACCAATTACAATTCGATGTTGACAAGTATGGGTTTAGAACGGAGGCCAGGTATTGAAATCATACCTATCACCAATTTGACACAGACGTCTTTACCAAGTTCGATCACCATTACGGCAATTAATAATCCGTCAAAGTCGTCATCATCTTCGTCATCGTTGGGGGACGATCGGAAGGAAAGGAAAAGCAGCTCCAAAAATCGAGATGAGAGTAAGCTGAAGTTTGAGAAAAAACGAAAACGCAAGCGAGATTCAAGTCCCATGGGTCCACCGGAAAAATTGCCTCTCAAACAAGATCCTTTATCAAAACCAGTGTCGGTCAGCATCAAACCTACTTCGGATGTATCACCATCGCGATCAACATCACCGACACTTCGTAAGTTCAGTCCATCGCCAACACGTAACAATCCTTTAGTCCTCGTGGGCAAAGCAAGTCCAACTTCTCTCAAACAATCGAGTAGCAAACAGAGTCCCAAGCACTCACCAGTATACAGCAGCCCGAAGCATGTACCTAGTGGTACGAGTCCAAAACACGGCACATCGTCACCAAAGCATGGCAATTCTGGCAAACCCAGCATGTCAGCGCTGAAATCTGCGACGAGTTCTCCTTCGCACAAAAGTGATTCGTCGAGTATAACTGCTAAAACCAAAATATCCTCACTAACGCCTTCAACTTCGCCTTCATCATCGGCTGTAACACTCACAAGTATATCACCATCATCGACGTCGTCGTCGTCATCGTCGTCGTCATCATCGTCTTCGTCGTCGTCGTCATCATCCTCATCGTCGACATCGTCGTCTTTAAACAAGGAACCAAGAGATAAAGAAAGGAAATCGACGTCGATGGTGTTTGGAGGCTCTAGCCCAAAATCGAAAAGCCTCACGGCCAAACCCAAACCTACCGAAGAGCAGTCTCCGGGAAACGGAGGAGCTACGCCACCGATGTCTGATCCTAACAAAGCTGCAGCAACTCAACAACAAACGAGAATTAGAAAAGGATCGCTCAGCGCTGTTATCGACAAGCTAAAAAATGCACATTACTGCACGGATGATGTGCCAGCCAACTTGTCTCAAAGTGCATCTGGTGCCTCGGCTAATCCAGTTGTGAAAAACCCAGACACTAAGAATCCTACAGAATACATGGTCAAGCCTAGCTCAGATGGAATAAAGTTGACGATTAATAAGACCAGAACGAAAGATCTTAAGTCGAATAATAATAACTTAAAACTTCCTATGATCAATCTACCGGGTACGTGTCCTACAGGTTCCGGAGGTATCTCGCCCTCAGGTTCAGGAAATGGCTCGCCCAAAACCTATACTGGACTCAAGCCTGGAGTAATCTCCGGACCTGCTTCTAGGAAACCGCAGGCGCAAACGTCGCCTAAGGTATTTACTGTTAATTGATCAGATATTTTATTTTATTTTATTTTTTTTTAGTCTATTGAATGATATGATCATGATTTATTTCAGACGTTATTATTTTATTTTTCACCTTTTATCTTTGATTGCACGCTTGGCTTTGATGTGTCCTGAAAATAAAACATGAATGAATGTTTCTTTGCGGCAGCGATTACAATTTTTGTACACCTCACATGGCGCCATCTATGTAAATAGCTATTAAAATTTTTTTTGTTCATGTATAGAGAATGCAAGTTTTTTTAATAAATAATGTTACTACGTTGACTAGTTGTTCCTAATTAAAATTATGTTCAATTCGATGTTGTAAAATATGTATGTGAAGATTATGGGAGACGTTCATTTATTAACGCTTGAAATTGTTATGTAAGCTTGACCGTATGTAATTTTAATGTTGCAATCAATATTCATTACTTTACAGATGAGATCAACATCACCATTAACTTCGAGTAATTTAAGCAGCAGCTCTGCAGGCAAATCAGGTCAAAAAATTCCTGGCAGCAGTCTAAAATCCAGTTCTAATTTGTTATCAAGCGGCTTATCAGGCAAAACCTCCAAATCTTTTTCATCGACAAGCGGTTCACTAAAACAGAGTTCGATGTCAGGAGATTTTGGACGTGCAAAAGAGAAAGCGAGATTCAAATCCGGCGACAAATCATTTACAAACAAAGCTGGTGATTTAAGAAAGCCAAATCCATCTGCAATGGAAACCGAAGGAGAGAAAGCTTTCAAGTTGTTGGCTCATGCCTCCATGGGAAATTTATTGAATACACCTGGATTTCCATTAGTAGTGGAAGGTCTGAAGAAGCAATTTGACACAAATTTTCAAATCCCAAAATTATCCGCGAGAGCGAATGCAGAAAATACTGAAAAACGGTCGGTAGATAAAGTGGACACTAGTTCTAAACCTTCTTCATCTGACATAGCCAGCAGAATACAAAACGTGCCTAAGATGGAAATATCAAGTACAGTCGTTGACTTTGCTTCGGAATCTTCCAGTACGTCGGCGAACAACGAGTCTGACATGCCTACCAATCTGTCTATGCAAGCAGATGACAAACCGGAGCTGAGTGGTAGTAGAGGATTATTAAGCGCTAATGCAGAATCAAAAGATGTTGTGGACTCGGCTGCAAGTAAAGCTTCGTCTTATTCGTCAGGTAATGATAACATGGAGAGTTTGAATCTCGTTTCCAAAAATGCCGAAAAGTTTAAGCCTTCGGATGAAAAAGAACAGCAGCATCAAGCTTTTCATCGAGTTTCTCAAGTTGAAAAGAAACTGGTGGGTATATCATTGCGAAAGTCTTTAAGTCAAAACTTATCACTGAAATACTGATTTCCACTAAAATTATTTACAGTTGGAAGCCGGAATTACGACATCGGCCAGTGTCACTCTTACTCCAATTCCTTCTAGTTCCTCGGCTTCAACGGCCAATCCAAGCTCACAAGAAGCGGCAGAGATGTTACTGGATTTTTCCACGCCGAAAGAAGCCGCAAGTACGACCATTTTGCCCCTAAAAACTCCACTTTCGTTATCCGCCTCGCCTTCTCCATTTCAAAAAAATACAACGCCACCGCCCCCACCGCCGCCACCTCCGCTTCCACCACCGTCGTCGATACTACCTTCTGTACCGCCCTCGGTCTCACCTATTTCGAGCTTTCCCCAAAGTCCTTCCGTCAGTTTGCACATCGTCAAGAGTCCTGCTCCTTCGCCCAGGGTCATTCCTTTATCGCCACACTCAGCATCGCCTTGTATCACCGACGACGAGCTTATGGATGAAGCTCTTGTTGGTAAGCGATCACGCGATTTTTATTGTTGCATAATCATTCTTAACAAACAATAATTTCATTTCAACTTTTTTTCAGGTTCTTGAAACTTTTGGAAAAATAGAGTACAACAAAGAATATGGTTCTCTATATCTTATTACATCTCAAAGCGTAGTAATGTTATCTAGCTAAATCATAAAAAATATTATATTTTGGAAACGTATCTTTGATGCCAGCTGTACGATGCTTACGCGCGAGTTAAGTGTGAATTTCAAGAATAGAAAAGTAGAAGTCGAAGTAATTTTCATTAATATACCGAGACATTACTCGACGGACAATCATGTAGGAAACAGAAAAGCTTGAGTTATCGAAACATCATTACCCATGACAGCGCAGAAGATAACTTGAATAAGTGAGTTGGTTACATATTCATCATTCATCATATGATATCTGCGTACGTACCAACGTTGTATTAACTGTTATAAATTTGCTAAATTGTTGAGCAAAGACGATCAGAATACTTTCGACGCCTTAATGTTAGAAAGTTTCGCGATGATGGTTAAACCGTTTGGACTTTCTAAAAATCAAAACGATTCGATATTTTTTCGATCCAGCTTTTAAAGATTTTTTTTTTTTTTCATTAAAAATGGCAAATTTTCCGTTTCGTGAAAACTTCACAAGTTCATGTATTTTCTATATAACAGTAAAATAAAAGCTTCAATCATTTAACGTTATAAAATTTTAAGGAAAAAAATATCGAATCGTTTTGTCTATGATAGGTACAAATGTACGTTTGTAAGAGTAAGGAAAAAAATTATAATTTAATTTGTATAGAGATTATATCTGTATATGTACATATATACATACCACCAGCATCTACTCGTGCATACATCCATGTAATTATTATTATTATTCCGGATATATTACTATTAATTCTATTATTACACGTTGTTTGAACTTTATCGTTAGATGCATACAAAAGGAAAACTTACATGTAAATGCAGCGCCAATAAATTAATTTTCTTTTTTTATATATTTCTTGTTGTTTCTGGAAATTGTCCTCAAATACCAAATGTGTAAACAACTAATCATTTCTCGACAATAACAAATTTATTATAACAAATTCTCCAACATTAAATCTAGACAAAAGCACACAGTTTTTGAAAAATCATACTTTGCTACATATGTTAACAAAGTACAAAAACTGTATACCATAGTTCCATATAAGTGCCACAATATAATTGAATATGACTAACGAATTACTGTTAAACGCAACCACATCGGTTATTGATACAAAAACTAAACGTAAATTATATCACAATATGTACAAATTTCTTGAATATTAGCTTCATCTTTTATTTTTTAATTAACACTTGAGGTGTCGTTGGAGATTTTATGACAAATCCAACTTCTAGGTAAAATAGAATCTAACAGGTGATCACTGTAAGGGGGACAATTCGATCTCGCATAAAATTCCATAGGATAGAGAGTATAAACAATTCCATTTCCCACAATCAAAGCTAACCACATATAAATGTTTCCATCCATTTTCGAATAATTCTTCATAAGGAAGACAAGAAGCAAACTAAATCCGGCGAAAGAAATAAATAACACTGGATAGAAAAATCCAAAAGCGAGAGCCAAGATATACTCATGAAAGAGGGCAGACACGGCGAACGTCATCGCGATCGCGAAAACTTTACTGTGGCACTTTACGTGAACGTCTTTATAGATGTACTCGTGGAGCCAATCGTGAACAGGGATGTTCCAAGTTCTATAGAAGGCACTGAAAGACGTGCAATTCCACCAGTCCTAAACAAAAACATATTTTCATTTATATGTAGTTAAAAAAAAACTACATGATAGAAGTAACTTACTTTGTAAAATTGTCGGTCGGCAAACCTCAGCAATTCCGCCATAGCATTCTGACAGGCGTGAAGTATACAGTAAAACCCAAATAGAAACATGACGATAGCGGGCAACATCGAGCTGAAAACTGTGAGAACGACGAATTGGATTTCGAAAATTCGCGGGCCGTACTTTTCAAAGGGCGGTATTATGAAGCGCTCGAGTATGAAAGCTACATAGAAAACGATCATCAGTATTTCTGCAACGTTCCACATTACCACTTTCCATCTGATACTTTTAGTTCTGAAACATTCAACACTTATCGTTGAAAATACACTGTAATTATAAAAGAATGTCACTTCAAACTTACCTTGGATACTCATCTCTGTAGATAAAGGTTGGTGCAAACATGAAGTACAAGAACTTGGAAAATTGCGGATAAAACGAGGCCTCGCTGTTTTCGTCTTTAGGCTTATATGCCAAAACTCGAGGAACATTACTCCTTACAAAAGCGTGCGTCTTCATTAGCATGCGAACCTGCGAGTAATTCATTCCTTCAGCGTCGCCTTCGCTTTCAAGCAATTTCTTTCAACGATAGAGAAAACAAATCAAAAACGTACTTGTTCCATCAAAACGAGAATACCAGCGGCTGCGGGAAAGTGTTTATCGATCGTGAGTTTTGCAGGCACCATTATAAATAGAGTTTGATGAGTTATAAATACAAACAACGAAGCGTAGTCCCAAATTTTCCTGGAGATAGCTGAAAACAAATCGAATATTAAATTGCTGAATAGTCAGAACGAACAGGATACGTTATTGATGTGGCTAGTTACATTTTGGAGCAAGCTCGTTATGTTTATTCGCCCACAGGGAGAATTCCAGGTAGATAAAGAAAGTGGAGGCTACCATAATCATCCAAATCTCGACAATGTCGTACACGCTTCCGAAGCCAGTTTTGATAGTTCTCAAGCCCACGTGTGTCCTGCGTCGAACAGCGAACGTTCATGTTAGATTTGATCCGTATCGGAACTTGTAAAACGATTCAACGTTGATTATAACGAGCAGCAGTCATGTCGACGACAATTAAAGATACATTATCGCATCTTACGATCACTCGTTTCGCACCCTGAACATCGTTCAATTTGATCAGCAGCGCGAGACAAAGAATGTCAAAGCAATCCACGAAACAATTTTGTCAATTTCAATTGGCAGGTACTCACGTGCCAGTCTGGATGTAGTCGTGCACCACCGTGTTCAAAAATAGAACGAGCAGCATCGCCGCGAATATGTTGTAAATCGTTCGAATGTGATTTACTTTGAATAGATCGGTGAGATACGAATTCCTCGGGATGAACTGCTTTTCTCCGCCTTTTCTCTCTTGCCTACAAACAAGATTGCGCCATCGATATCATTTCATTTATTTACGGACTTTTATTATACGTCGTCATCTTTACTTGTGGTCGGACGCTCCTTTGTGATAACCATTTTGCTTTGGATTGCTCTCTTGCAAGCGTTCGATTACTTCGGACATCATGCTGTTTAGTTGCGCGTCTATGTCGTCAACGAGAGACTGACGTAGAACCTTAGGATTTCGAGAAGAGAGTTTTTTTTATATAATTGATTTTCAACGATCGGATTGAATCGGCGAGATGGCGATCGATTAACATTTGCCACAGCTGATAACTTCGCTCAGCGTCGAAAATCATTTACCTGCATGCGATTTTCGAGATGTTTTATGTTCATTTGGTCGAGAGATACTGTGCCCTCTGAAGGCTGGAATGCGTGCAACGGGCCGCCGTTTACTGAAAACGGAACAAATCATAACTTTGCGTGTCTTTTCCAACGTCGATGTATTCTATATAAAAAGTATTGCTATCCCTCGTTCTCTGTCATTGTTATAGTTTTCACCAACGAGTACAATATAATCTTACTTCGATATTTTCAAAAAAGCCTCTTAAATTGAAGCTTAGATATATAACTAAGCTAACCATAATCTACTATTCACAGTTCATAATTGTATTGAATGTTTAAAACAAATATATTATACAACGAGGAATTTTCAGTGAAAAGTTTCAATCTAAGGCATGAAAAATATATTCTCAAATGGAAACGTAACTTACGTGTTTATTTATGAAACTTCCACATTCAATTCACAATATTAAATTATTAAGCACTGCGAACATCCATACACCGCGGACAGCTCAACAATTCAAATCACTGCTCACCTTCGTGAAGCCTCGACGAGTCTCCGTTCTCGTGCCTGGAGCGCACGCTCACCACGTTCCCGTTCATCTCTACGCGTTGAGAGAAGTCACCGACGTCGCGTTAACGAAGTGTCCAGAGCCGTCCAGAACCAACGGCAGACTGAAGTTGTGCCGCGTGGTAGTTGCTGCTTTTGTCGCGCGCGTTTCTAACTTGTTATCAGACCGTCCTCGCGTGGCTAACCGCGTTTGTAAATACAATCGCCTTACGAAAGGCTCAGGTGTGTTGAGCGGCACTTGTTGATGTCTATATCGATGCGTCGAAATTGCGATCGGTTGATATTTGTTGAACGGTTTCCGGTGGGATATTTTATAATACGATCGTATTCCACGAGGCCCGGCTCTAGAGACAAACTTCATACCCAGGTGTTACATTTGTGAAGCAGTTGAATTAGGCTGCTTTCTTCGAAAATAAAAAAAAACATCATATGTAAATATTTCGATAAATTAGTAGTGTTTGTTACATCGTAAAATTCAAAAATAGACACGTTAGATTACGCAACCGTTTCGGGCGAGCGAAGCAAGAAAGAATCCGATAAGATGCTTTGGGCAATGTCCACTCGAGTAATTTCGATCCGATTCGAGTACGCGATCGGCCTCTCGGTACACTCGCACTCGACACTCGTTTTAGATGAATGGAATCGCCCCGGCATTGCTCGCGATACCGCCGCATGCGACTGACTCGTGAGTGCAACTATAGTGCGCGTGCACCCGCGTCCCCAGAAGTATTTCGAGGATGCAACAGAAAACAAACTTTTTCCTTCCCCTCCGATCCTCGTCACTCTTTCTGACGATTCACGCTGGATGAGACATGGCTGGATGAGTTATGCTCGGCGGATCTCTGGCACGAGGCTTTGAAGTTGCGTTTCTGAAAACAATCGAATGACCGCCGCAATTAAAATCTTCGCCGCTGCGGTTCGCAACGTCCACGAACATTTCTACCCTTTTATCGCAAACTCATTACATCGACACAAGTTGTGCGATGATCGACGTTATCAGTCGGTTACGCGATCGATCAGAATAAGCCATACCAATGTTTCGACCGTTGGAATAAAGTTGTGTATACATATAAAAATGAAATAAAGCAGCTCAGCGATCGGTATTCGAATCCTCCACTCGAATTCTTTTATCTCGCAAGATATACGATACATCGACTTGATTCATTTTTTGCGTCGCGGCAGATAAAGCCGTTCTATCATAGAAGCGCTGGCAAGTTTGAATGACGAACGAACGGTAGGCAGCGTTTCTTAAATAGTTTTGTTGGCGGCAGCTCTTTTTTCGAGCGTAACTGCAACTTTTGCAGGTATCACGTGGTTATTGAACTGTCGTTGTTCCGACGTTTCTGATAATGCGATTTCTCCAAGTAAATGCAATTATCGTTGCGATAGCATTTCGATCCGACAGCGACAACCTTTTTCCGTTATCGTATGTATTTATGTTTTTCTTAACAGTCGTGATTTTGTTTTTCATTTAAGCAGTTTGACCATTCGAGATTAATATATGCTGAACAATCGAGATTAAAGGTGTCACTTCATTTATTTCAATACACAAAACTCTTCGTGAATTTAATAATCCATAGATAATATAATGTGTTTAATGCAATGTTTAATAGAAAAAAATGATTACTTAACATGCTCTACGTCTGCATTATGACCATTCATCGTAAGAAGAAGAATTGAAAAATGCTTGTAATGAAATTTTATTTAAAACAACGCGTTATCCAACTCTTTTTTAAAACCGCATATCTCTCTATAACGACGATATAATATACTTATAACTCGTCCAAATTAATACTGCTATTTTTGGTAGATAATTTTGTCAATTATAATTACTAAAAGTTTTTGTTATATCAATTTTTACTTTGGTTAATATAAAAACCTAATGAAATATTTTTTATATTCTTTAATAAAATTTGAATAAAACTTAATTTACAAGTTTTTATTGTATTTTGCGCAATCTGAAAGTGATTCATACGTGTACAAATGTATGTTGAGTCTGCATACATTTTTTATTTCATTGTCACGCGGGAAAAGAAATTGTTTTTTAGGTTTTATCATTTTAGAATAATTAAAAGATGTATTGGTTTTTTATATAAAAAATAAAAAATCATATATATTTATATGCACTTAGCTTAGCCCTAGTTAATTGTTTCTTCTATCCTACATCCTCTCTAGCTTAACTATAAGACCTTATAGTGTGCAGGACTGTGTTTCTGAATATATATGTGTACATTGCATTTACCCTGTCTGAATAGTAGAAAAAGATGAGTTTTTTGCGTGTGTTTAATATTTATTGTGGCTTTTGCATTGTGTTTGCATTGGTTTCTTTATACGTCACGACTAACAATGTTGTATTGAATGAAAATTTTATTTATCGCCAAAAATTATGAATTGATTCTTGGCACTTGACCGATTGAGGTCATCGTAAAGCCGGTGTGAGTATGATTAGTTAATCAATCATATTACTTTTTCCTTAAAATATGATTTTCTTTAGAGTGTTGATGATCGTCACAAAAATTGATAGAATTGTAAACATATCGGTATTCGACATTATCCATTAAGACAACAATGAAATCTTTTACCAATCTACTTAAAATAATAATAAATTTTTCCATAATTTCCAAGATCTTAAATTCAATGCGAATTCAATGTTAAAATACACAGGTCAATATACATTTTTTATTTTATCGAGCAAGTTTTTTTCATCAAAAGCGAGTCATCTTTAATCTCGATTAACGCTTTAATTGACCAAGCTAGAAAAATTCTTTGATTACGTGAGTTATAAATTCTTAAAAAAAGTAAATTCTCCGCTAATTGAGTCAACTAATTAAAATATATAACAGTCGCAAATACCTATCATTTTACAGATCTTCAAAGAATAACTTCTAATTGGGGAAAGGATTGTTGAAAATAATAAAAGGAATATTTTATATTTCTAAATAATTTATTCCTTATCATAGAATACTTAGTCATTTACGATTATTTATATACACATATTTACAAGTTTTCCAGATTTTTTGGTAGTTGTTCCAGGTTTCTGTCGCGGTTTACGACAGATAAACATATATCAGCGTGACCCAGGTGCATTATTGAAGTGCGTCGACGTCTCTGAAGCCTACAACCATTAAATGATCATTGAATATCATAAGCGAACAGACGCATCAGAAACTCGCAATGAAATTGAAGTACAACGAACCTGTGGCATCTGACTCATAGGGTCACTGTAATTACTTCGCTGGGAATAAGTTGTCGAAGTATGACTAGTTGGTTGCGTTATCGTAGATGATTTATAGCCAGACACCTGTAACGATAGACAAAAATATATTACCTTACTTAAATGTACAGTGTAAAGTTATCGTAAAGCTGATAACAAGTTCGTGCAAGTAATTATCTCGAAATAATAACAAAAACATAAGTGCACACAAGCCGTGTTCACAATAACATTATTCTTCTGAAACCAACAGTGCAATCTTTCGTCAGAAGACTGATTGACTATTGATTCCTACATATGTGATATCTCACAATAAAGAAATATTGACTAACCTTATCGTTAATCTCCGGGAAAATTGTGCTGAGATTAAAATTAGTGAGACTCGTGCCAGACGGATGATGCTGTGTCATCGACTGATTGGCGTTGCTCGACGAACTTGCCGTTGGCAATGGTGGCTTTGGATAAACACTCGACTGAGTCTGATACAGTGGATTCGTCAAGAACGGTGCCGAAGTGTGATGATAATCGTCGAGCGGCGAAGTAATAGGGAAATCTGGAAAATTCTGCGTGTTGTTGTCCGATTTCCGTTTGCTCTTCTTCTGCTGACCGTAGAACGGTCGTTTATCGCAATTCTGATGCTTGCTCGAGGTGTAATGTTGATGATGATGGCTTTTCGAACCATCCGTCATGTTGGTTAACAAAGGCGTTGTAATTGACGTAGTCGACACGTTGGCTGGTAAAAGGAAGTTATTGCCGTCGAGATAGTCAGCGTTCTCGTGTAAGGGCATCATGTAATTAGCCGAGCTATTGGAAATGTTGGTAATGAAGTTCGTGCTCGGATAGATATTGGCGTTGGATGAGTAGGCGTACGACGGGTTGAAGTTCTGATTCATCACCTGTCCGTAGCCACTGCTTGCATCCTCGACATTGGGGAAGTAGTTGATAGCCATGGAATCGGATGTCAGTGCGCCAGAAAATTTATTTTGCGAGTAATTCGCCGAATATTTTGGTAGATTCTTCTCATTGTGTGAGTTATCCGTTTGATTAGTGTTGCTTCCGATCAACGCTTCGGCCGTGTAATTACTCTTGCAATTTCTACTCCTCCATTGCACATCATTGTTCGTTTGATTGTACTTTTGTTGCTGCTGTTGCTGCTGTTGTTGTGACTGCTGTTGTTGAGTTTGTTGTTGAGACTGCTGCTGAGGCTGTTGCTGTGGTTGTTGGTAACTTGATTCATTGAAACCAGAATTACTCGAGCTGGTTTTTGGCTCCTCATGCTGACGATGAATTTGATCATTGTTACTGTTTGCCGACTGTTTGTGCCTCATATCCAACTGTCTCTTATTACTAGCACGTGGACTGTTACTGCCCTTACGTTGCTTACGAGGTGGCGGTTGTTGTGGTTGCTGATGAGGATGATGCTGATGATGGTTGACAGTGTTGTGAGATTGCTGATGCTGATTTTTCTCCGCCTTCTCGTGATCAACCAGCTGACTGACCGATAAGAAGGGCATGCCGTGCGAAGCGTGTTGAGCGTTTTGAGGATTCACTACGTTTTGATAGTCGCGACTTGTGCTTTCTTTATCTTTCATTGAATCTTTATTCAACTCGTTAGCGTTACTCCTGACAGGCATTTGTCCAAACAGGAAATTCTGCTTGTCTGAAATATTGCTATTCAGTGCCAAATCACCTACCAATGCCGGTAACGTTGATGTTTCGATTCCTTTCAGATTCTGATTCTGCTCTGCATTCTGAGATATATTTTTCGTAGGTGACCACGAAAACGTCTGCTCTTCGGGATAATACGTCGTGTCCACGTTTCTCTTCGATTCACCTGGTAAAACTGCTATGTTGGCAAAAGTGTGTGTAGACATGTCGTAATTGTTGTAGAACTGATGATTGGTACCCGATTGATTGTAACTGGCTGTTTGCGAGAACAAATTATTTTGACAGAAATCAAGTTCTTTACCGATCGGAGGTAAAATAATGTCAGTGATGTTTGAATTATGCTTGATTTCAGGAGTCATCATCCAATTCACAGGTGGCCTTGAAGCGTGTTGCTGATTCATTTGTTGCTGCTGTTGTTGCTGCTGCTGTTGCTGCTGTTGTTGCTGCTGTTGTTGTTGCTGCTGTTGTTGTTGCTGCTGCTGCTGTTGCTGCTGCTGCTGCTGCTGTTGCTGCTGCTGCTGCACTGATTGCACTTGACTATTTTGATCCGTTTTCGACTTACTGTGACTGGACTGAGGCTGATGCTGCATATGCTTGTTATTATTATTGTATATTGAATTATCATGGTGCATTGGCGTCGATGCTACCTGCGGGGTTGGTTGGTACTTCGAATGAATCTGCTGATTCTTTTCATTATACTTGAAATTTGCTCCAGAGTAACCGTCGTGATTATTAGAATATCTCGGTTGAAGATTATTCGAGTCTGCATTGAAGTTGGCATGCGAATCGTAATCTGGTAACATATAATTAGATTTGTCAGATTTGTGAGATTGAATTTGCTGACTCGAAGAAGCTTTGGATGATGACTGATGATTTGGTGGCTGATGTGTTTGTTGATTCTGTTGGCCTTGATGATGCTGTAAGTGAGGGGGTAAATCTAATCCATTGACGTAATTGTGTTGACTGTAATCCACATCCACCGGGTACTTGTACTGTTTCTTACTTCCTGCGTGGTACTTGTAATCTGTTGCTGAGATTGCAAGCGGAACTTGACTACGTGGTGATTTTTGCATCGGAACTGTTTGGGAGACACGCATATTTCTCGACTTATTCATGTCGTATGACCGTTTCTGAGGATCAACTGACATCTTTGACTTTGATTTGTCATAACTAGGAGCTTGAGTATCGACGGTGAAATACGATGGCTGCGACATTGCATTAGGTAATGAAATATTTTCTTTTGTCATCGGCAAGTAATTAAAATTGTCACAAGTACTTTTGGGTATTTCATTGGATGCAGATGTTGAATCATACTGAGGAAAATTATTATTACTACTGCTGACCGACGAAAAAGTAGTCCACGACAAAATGCTAAAGTTGGAGGATGTTGTGGCAGCTATTGTAGTTGTTCTGGTAATGTTAGTGTCTTCGTATCCCGTAGTTGAAACATAGACATTTGGTTGTTGTGGAAAAATATTAGACCGCGACGAAAGTACCAATTTTTGATCCGTATTGCTCGGTTGAGAGGATGTCGAAATCATCTTTTTAGTAATTTTATTGTCGCATGCAGCAATGTTATACGAATTTAAGGTAGGTACTTGGCTCTCCTTTTTATGATATATAACGTTCTGTTCTGTATTAGTGGAAGGTACTTTATTCTCCACTTTCTTTGTTGTTGGATGGTAATCAGTATTCGTACTCATATTTTGATTACTTTGTACTGGTGGCTTTGCAATTTTTTCTTGATTCATACTTGATTGACTGTTTTTATTTACAACTTCCGAGTTGGTTATCTGAACAGGTGGATTGGAGAACGTGTGTTGCTTATTTCGAACAGAGTACTCATTGCTTCTTTCCGTGAACGCTTCTATTGGGCACAGTGGAAGTTTGCAGAGATCTTTTTCGGTAGGAATGTCAGTCGTCGAGAAATTATACTGGTTATTTCGATCAAGATTTTCTTTTGAGCAGACAGGTATAGAAGTTTGACAATTTTGCGATGCATAATTTGGAACAGGATTGTACTTTGCTGAAGTTGTAGTAGCCATGGTATTTGTTGATAAGGATGTTGTTGAAATGTATTTGTTCAAAATATCAGTCGCCATCGAACTGGCAATAGAAGACAAAGGCATATCTTTTGTGTAGTTGAAATTCGATTGAGATTTGTTGTTCACTGGATAATTTTGACTAGTATTTACAGGTTTATTTATACTACCAACAACCATTTGAGACTGATTTTTACTTGTAGAAACAAGAGAACTTGTAGAAACAGAGTTTGAATTAACTGTTTGATTAACTGAATTAGTCTGTGACGGCAGAGAAGTATTTGTTTCGTTACTTAGTTGCTTGTTGATTTGTTCCGATGAAACTGGAATAATTTTGAATGGATCTGTAATATTTTTGAATGAATCTGTAATAGTTTGACTGTTAATAACTCGAGGTAATGTTTTTCCAGTAGTTGTAACAGGTGTTGAACAAGTTGTTGGTGGTGTTGGATCAGTGGAAGATTTTACAGATGATTGCTGACTAATTGCAGATGGCTCAACAGATTCCAAATTTTCACTTGACAAAGGCCTTGTATTAATTTTGAAATTGTTTGGCTCTATAGTGCCTATTTGTAATAACATTGGAGGTGTTTGACTGTTATATTTAAAATCATCTTTCAAATCATCATCAAGAACATCAGTTTTACCACCTAAAGACGAGACAATAGGAAAAGCCATCAAAAAGGCTGCTGTTGGAGATATTGATTCTGAATTATTCGAGCTTGAAGGTACTTGAAGTGACGCAAAAATATCATTCGATAAATCAGAATGTAAAGAATCGGGTTTGTTGATTGGTACAAAACTATTACTTGGACTGTAAGTTATTGCTTTCATAATACTCTGATCTTCTTTCGTGGTATCTTTTAATTTTATTGATTCTTCTTCGCTTGCAGTAACAATAGATGGTGGTGTTGTTGGAACGGAGTCCATTTTATTGTCCAAACCATTTAATTTCATGGTAGTATTGGTGTCTAAATTCAATAATATTTTATTACTTTCAGGAAGCACTTGTTCTTGATTTATATCATTCTGACTGTTTGACTGTAGTATATTATTGAGTCCACTTTCAATATTACAACTTTGATTTGTTTCACTTGGAAGAATTATGTTTTCATCGATGTTACATCCTGAAGCTAATGAAATAGTAATTTCTTTAGGTACATCTACTTTATTATTTTCTGCTATAGTTGTATTTTCTGTTAATACTGATGAATTATTTTTATCACTGCTGACAACTACATTTTCTATTTTATCCAAAATATTGCTTTTTGATTGACATATATTTGAACTACTTTGCTTCTCTTTATCCATACTTTTCTTTTCACTGTTAGCCATATCAGTTTTTAATAAACTTTGATCTGTAGAACTGTCTACTGATTTTTCTTCAGGCTTTTTACTCTCTAATAAAGAATTTGACTTATTTAGTAAATTATTGTCATTTTTTTGTTCACTGGGTGTAGTATTTGAACAATTTGTTGAATCAGATAATTGTACATCTGCATAAGGTATCTCTTCTCCAATCTTTTCTATTACCTGCTTTAAATTTTCAATAGACTCACAAGTTACATTGTTATCTAACACATTTTTATTTACTTGTAAATTTTCATTTGCATTTTCATTAGATTCAAGTTTCTTTTTCTTTACTTCCACTGCAGTTCTAGAACTTGCTGCCCTCTTTACACCCTGTTTATCAATATTTAGTTTTTGCTGAATAACATTGATATCCTTATTATCTCGCTTTAAAACCTTAGAATTATTTTGCACTTCTGTATTAGCTGATTTATTATCAGTCACATTTTTACAACCTGTCTTAGTTTTTGCTTGTTTTTCTGATGAAAATTTATCTTTTGATTCACACTTGTTATCTACCTTCTCTTTATGAATTGCTGGAATTGGAACTTTATATGTCATTGTGGTTTCAGTAACTTCTCGAGTCTTTGGTAATATGGTTTTCATACCCCCTACTTTACTTGAACTTATAACTGTTTTTACATTTTTTGCCCAATCTTGAGGATTTATCAAAACATTCGCTTGAATGTTTGGCACAGTATTCAAAGCCTGCATAGTATTAATTGTTTGAAAGTGATTAGTTTGTAAAGGTTGTACTACAATCATTTGACCCTGTTGTGCATTGTTTAAAATTATAGAATTAGCTGGTCGAGGCTGAGTATTTACAATAATATTTGAAGTTAATGATTGTATTGGAGTCACAACTGGCATTATCTTACCACCTGAAAACACTAGAGTACCTGTTGGAAGGTTACTTATATCAGAAGATTTTTTAGTCAATGATTTTTTTGTTACTACTCTTTTTTTCCTCTTGACTTTTTTGTGATCTTCTAAAAAATATATATAAATATATATAAATTATACTTAATACATAACAAAAAAATCTCTCTACACCACTTACTTATTTCAGACTTGGGTGGAGAATCTTGTCCAGATCCACTTGGTATTGATTTATCAATGGTTGAAGATGATTTTTCAGAACTTCTACCTGATTTATTTGCTTCACTACTAACACAATTTTCTTGATCTTCTATAGTACAGTTTGATTTTTCATTATGGACGGGTGACTGCTCAGCTATACTTTCACTATTGGTCTTTTTCTTCATATCATTAGTAATTTTCTTAGTTGTCTTTTCCACTGTTTTGTCTAAAATAACAAAATTTTCAAAATTACACAATTTTCAATACAACTTAAATATGCATTTTCATTTACCTGTCTCAACAAAATCAATAACCTTACATCCAGTAAGAACATTGATTCTGTTAGACCATTTGAGTGGAGAAATTTTCTCCAGTGCAGGTTCTGCAGGTACATTAATCCCAGCATTTTTCAAGAGATCTGTTAATAGCTGGGTTCTTGATACTAATTGAGTAACAAGCTTCTTCAGTCGAGCTAATTCCTTTTCTAATAATAAAAAAAAAGGAACAAAACCAGTTTCCAGGAATAACATATTTTATGTACTTACTGTGAGCATCTGAGGCTTTGTCATAGAACAATTCATCAGTACGACTGTGCAGTTCTTTAATATACTTGGAAGCATGGACAAGTATATCAATTTTATTACGTTTACGGCCTTCTAATGGTGGTGGTAAAAGATCTGATAAATTTTTAAAGTAACTGTTCATACGATTCCTTCTGTCCCTTTCCCATGTTTTGGCTTTTCTGTGAAAATATTTCATTATGAATATTTACAATCAACACTTAAAATACTCAATTATAGAATAAATGCATACGTATTTTCTTTCCGAGGCATAATAAATCTGCCTTGTTTTTACTACCTCTACTATATTCATTTTAGAAATTCAATTGCCATCAAAATTAAGATCCCTACATGATTTTTTATAATACTTTTCATCCTAAACAATAACAAAAATAGTAAAGCTATTTAATAATAACTAACTTGTGACAGCTTTAATGTTTCTTTTGATCAATATTATTTTAAAATGATGTTGAAGTGAGCAAAGTGAAACTATCAGAAAAATCTCTAATCTTAAATCTCAAATAAAATAATAGATATAGATTAATCGACAATTCTATAAAATGCTGTGACCATAAACAATTGTACTCGCATACAAACGAGTTAAGTGACTACGTAAATACTTTAATATAATAGTTTATTCAGTTTAGGAATCAGAAATCAGTTCACAGTTTCTTTCAAGACGTTAAATCACAATGTAATTATTATTATGTACAAATACTACTGTCTAATAAGTGTACACGGAAACATATACTGTATTCGACACAACAATGCTCACAATTATATTATATTCCCATCTACATAGCTAACCTAACCTTTGTATATATTGTAGCAGAAATATCACGTAATATTCGCGATGGTTGATAGCAGAACTGGAAATTTTATTACTTGTTGCATCCACTTTTTATAAAAATTAATATTAATTACGTAGAAACACAAGAGCTAATAAAATATAAGTAATTTGTTTAAAATGGCTCACTATATCGTAATAAGAAGTAATATTTGATTCAATATTTAACAATATTGTTCTGGTAAAATCCGGTTGTTTAAATTATGTTAAATTTATTTTGAAATTCCAAGTTTTACGGTAATTCACGATAAACAAAACAAAATATTGGCTAGTGATTGAAAATGCTAAAGATGTTCTCAAAAAATCTTCAGAAAAAAACTCATTAATCACTCTATTAGTGATATAAAAATTAACTTTCAGCTTTATAAGAAAAAAAGCCTTAGATTTTTACAAGAAGTATGAGGATGCGGCTGAGCTCATATAAATCAAGGGAGCATTAAATTGATGGGTGTAAGAGACAATTCGGTAATATTAAAAAGATAAAAAAAACAATTGTAATTTCTAGAAAACTGAAGCTCCAAATATTATAGGTATGTGTTTATTGTTTTTTTTATTTCACATGAATATTACAATTAATTCTAACCTGGAAAATTTTTAAATTTGTAAAATTAAATTATTTAATTTACAAAGTACTACAAAAATATTGGGCTAAATTAATTATTTATTTTTGAAGTTCAAATTGAAATAAGATCAAAAATTGGTATGTATGAAAGAAGATTAAATATATTTATTATGCTTGCAGCAGTTTCTAAAAAGAGATTGAAACAAATTTTTATTTTGACTTTTGAACCTTGTTTAAAAAAATAAGTGTAAAAAATAAAGAACAATGATATTGAAAACACTAATTTAATTAATATATGTAAAGTTTGTGAATACTTTAAAAAATATCAAACCATTTCCTAACTATTTATTTTTCTATTTGAATGAACTTGTGTATTCTTGAATAAGTTATTACAATTTAATTATTCATTTTAATTTTATTTATGACATTATAATCTTAATCTTTGATATATATCAGCATATTAATTGTGCAATGTCTTATTTATTGCTCAACTTTTAAAATTATATTTAAAGAGTTCAGATATTAATTAACATAATATCTATAGTCTTACACCTTGCGGGTTCATTCAATAAAATCGTAAACTCTATGCTTGGTAACAGATTTTAGCACTCTTATAGATTTTCTAAATCAGCTGAAAAAAAGAACATTTATACTCTTTTGGTTGTTCACAAATTTTTGAAGTTTTGAAATCACAAATTAGGTAAAATGAGTCTTCGGAAAATTCTTTAGTAAATGCGTTTCAAATCCATACAGTTTCCCTTTATAATCCTACTCTATAATCCTTCGTGGCATGCGCCATGAGTGCGCGAGTTGCGAGACAGAGCATAGCACACACACAGTGTCACAGGTTAGTGTCATCTCGATATGTGTGTATCGTACCTGCACTATCATCAAGTAGGTTCCTATATGTTGATAAATATTTCGAGTACATCAACCAATGCTGTAACTGATCTCGACGAAGAGCAGAAAAGAAAGATTCACATGCGTAAGTTGCGATAGCGAAGAGAAAATAAGAGCTGTCGGGATAACACTGATAATTAGTTAATAATTGTCAAGTGGGCGGAGCTCTGATTTGGATGGCTGTTCTCTCTGCCAGTTTCTGTAGTATATTCAATTTATTTGAAAAAGTCATAACGACAATTCTAGCTCTTATCATGTCCAATCCTGTAAATGGCTCGCGAAACCAATCGCTTTGATAACTCAACAATTGTCACTACGTCATTTTTAAGGTTAGTTCGTACGGTCTTTTGCGTTGTTGCTATTCCCTTCCGTTTATCATCATGATTTTTCGAATTCTTAGAGATGGTCTATGCAATTTTTACATGTTGTCGATGATTTACTTGAAACTTCTGATTCAATAGCTATAAATTGGGAACACTGCAACAATATTTATGTTAATTTGTATGGAATTTTGCAGATCAATATAGAGTTCCATTGTACAAGTTGAAATGATTGACGAAGTAGAAGCTGTACAGGTGAATACTGAAATAATAGACCATGGAGATATTGGAGCAGATGACGATGAAGGATCAGATGGTGTAATTGTGCCCGAGCTCCAAGGGACTTTGTCTAAGTGGACCAACTATATACATGGATGGCAGACCAGATTCATTGTGCTTAAAGATGGCACATTATCTTATTATAAATCTGAACAAGACAGTGGTTTTGGTTGCAGAGGTTCTATCAGTCTTTTCAAAGCTGACGTGAAGGTAATTTTTATAATTTAACTCTACTGGAACTTAAAAACTCTCAAGATATTTAAATTTTTTTATTTGACTCATTGTTATATTAATATATTGTTAGGCTCATGAATTGGATGAATGCAGATTTGATGTGTCAGTAAATGATTGTTTAGTATGGTATTTGAGAGCTAATAATCCAGAAGAAAAATTACGTTGGGTAGATGTTTTGAAGTCCTATAAGGTAAAAAAAAATTAATTTTTAGATAAAAGAATTCAACTGCACAATTGAAAAATTTATTTGTAAAAACTTACAGGCTGAATCTGGATATGGTAGCGAAAACAGCTTGAAGCGACATGGAAGTGCCATTTCTTTGGTATCAAATTCACAATCTACAGCAAGCGTAGGTAGTTTTAGTAAGCGAGGCTTTAGAAGTTTGAAGGAAAAATTGGCAGAAATAGAGACATTCAAAGACATACTGATTCAGCAAGTCGACACGCTTCAAAAGTACTTTAATGACTGTGCTGAAAATAGTAAGAACTTGCAAGTTAAAGATCCAACGTCGTCGGAAGACAAGAGCAATGGGCTAAGCTATGATCCAGCTGAACAGGCGATCGACTTCAAAGGTGAAGCCATCACATTTAAAGCGACAAGTGAAGGCGTAATAGCTACACTGCAGCACTGTGTAGATTTGATGGTGCAACGCGAGGAAGCCTGGCGCAAGCGCTGGGAGAAAGAAATGGAAAAGCAACGAAAATTACAAGAAATCTGCAGATCACTGAAGGATCAAATAATTACTAACGGTGGCGGTTCCGGACGGCCCAGAGTTGTCATTCACGGTGGACCCGACTATGAGGTCAGTCCACCTAATCCGCTCTTAATATTAAGTAATTGATTAGTTAATGAATCGAATGATAAATATTAAGAGTTGATCGAATTATACCGGGTCTCGGTTTCAAAACTCATTGGTATGCGCGGGCAGACGAGTGACGATAGAATTTCAAATGACGCGTGACGTAACGACGGATGATTTCACTTTTCGATAACGACGGAGCGCAGTACAGTGTTGGCAGTCTGTCACAATTAGTCAGAACGGTCGGTCGCATTGTTAATAGATAATGATGTGCATGGTACTAAAAAAGCATCATTTCCTTTTGTTTCACAAGGAGGGACCACACAGCGCTCTCTGTGACGATGAATTTTACGACGCTATGGAGACCGGATTGGACAAAATCGACGAGGACAATCAAATAAAGGATCGTTTGAAACAAAAGTCCGAGGCGATTCTCACTACTCCAACTACACCAGCTGTTAAACATAGACTTTGGCCTGAGGTATAATTTTATCTATACAAACGACATTAAGTATTGTACTCGCGAGTCGATAATTCATTTCACCTTATATTCTCAGATTAACAAAACAACATTAGAGCAATTACATTATGCTCGACTTGGTGTAGGAGCGGGTGGTTGGCAACTTTTCGCCGAGGATGGCGATATGCGAATGTACAGACGTGAGGAAGAGAAAGACGGCTTAGTGGTTGATCCACTGAAAGCATGTCACGTAGTTAGAGGCGTTACCGGTCACGAAGTTTGCAAAATATTCTTTAGTCCGGAGTATCGTGCCGGTTGGGAAGCTACTCTCGAGGACATGACAGTGATCGAGAATATTTCCAAGGACACTCTCGTTTTTCTACAAACTCACAAACGCATCTGGCCTGCAAGTCAACGAGACGCGCTTTTTTGGTCACATATACGCAAGGTGCCAGATGATCAAGATCCCGATGCACAGGATGTATGGATTGTTTGTAATCACAGCACCGAATATCCAGATTATCCGGTAAAATTTGCAAACATTCTTGAAACATGAAGAGCGTCATAATTGATGATACTTCTTCTTTTACAGCCAAATACTGGAAAGTGTGTTAGAGTGTACTTGACAGTTTGCCTTGTTTGTCAAACACTCATTGATCCTCCCAAGAAAAATGAACATATTAAGAGAGAGGATATTACCTGTAAAATTACGTATTGCTCAGTTGGTAAGGATTAATTATTATGAAATACACAAATCAATTTATTGTGCTTAAAATTGTAATAATATTGGTTTTATTTTTTTTACAGTAAATCCCGGTGGTTGGGCCCCAGCGTCGGTTCTTCGTGCGGTCTACAAGAGAGAATATCCTAAATTTCTGAAGCGATTTACCAATTTTTGTATTGATCAGTGCAAAGACAAGCCGATTTTATTCTAACTTTTGCTCTCGACTATTTCTTTTTCTCTGTCTTTCTGCGATAACGGTGATGAAGCGCGACATATTTGGATTAGTGAGATGCCTAAGTGTTACAATAAGCTGATTAGTTCTACGCTCACGTTATTATAATTTAAAAATAAAACCTCTTTTTGCTCCGGTTTGTTATTGATATTATTAAATGTTGTACGTACAATTTATTGTTCTACAGATGTATGATTGACTTTTACAACAAAAACGAATGCACCAGTTATACACGTTTGATGAACGGTGTTACCTCTTTTTGTACATAATAAGCAGACGCGCAGAGTTTTTCTGTCCTTTAACTGTTACAAACTTTTTTCATGTGAATACGTCGGCGTGACGTCCAGTTGTACAAATTTTTCTGATTGAAAGCATCCATTGCACTATGTGTACCTATTGTTACACTTTGCCATACACAAATTGTATTATAAAACATTGCGAATTGAATTGTTATTTTTATTTATATAAAAGAAAAAGAATATGTATATTGATGTGAAAAAACAGATTGATAAAATATGGAACATAATAAAGACTGTTAGCGTATTGCTTACTTTTACATAGAAAAATTTATTGAACTACACATAGCCACATTATTTACAGCTGCAAAGATAAGGTGAGTGATTAAAAATAATTAAAAATAACTTCTTATCATGTCACAGATAAGTTATTTGAGTTCTTTGTAAGCTTCGCTATTTCCTCTTTAAACTTAGCAATAGTTTCTTTTGCTAGTGATAGCTTTTCTCTAAATTCTTGAACTTCGTTTCTAATTTTGGTCCGAGCTTCTAGTATTTCTTTCAGAGCCTTTTCTTTTTTAACTTCAACTAAATATAATTAAAACATGATTATCGAGTATACAGTATTTGTTCAATAATTAATAAATTTAGGCTTACAATCTGTTTCGTGACGCCATACCCCTGATGTCAAAGGCTTGGCTGAACTCAACAAATGTTGCATCAATGCAGAAGGGTCTTGGAATATGATTTCATCATAAGATTCTGAAACTAAATTTTTCTTTCCTACTTGTATTTCAGGAGTGGTTTGAAATAGTTTCAAGATATGATAAATAGTAATCTGGAATATAACAAAATGATCAAATTATATTCAATCTATATTCTTTCCACTAGAACATTATAATTACTGACTGGTCTTTCATTTGGATCATTGAAATAAATTTTAATGGTAATTTCAAATTCTCCCCATCCAGTTTCTGTTAACTCATAAGGGGGTTTTGTGACAATTCTATTTGGATTGTTATAACTTTCATGGAGTTTGAAATGCACTTTCTTAATGTAAGCTGACATATCTTCATTATGGTAGGGCTTTACGTACACTGTCCATTGATGGGTATGACCATCTTCTTCTCTTTTCTTGCCAAAATATCTAGCTACATTTCCATAGACAATTGGCTTAACTATAGTTAGTCCCTGAAAAATATACTTAAAATTCAGCATAATTGTTTTTATTCATTTCAGAAAATAGTATCAATTCAGTTAACAATAAACAAATATCTAACCTTGATTCTTCCACCAGAATCAGGCCCAAACTCTGTTACAACTGACATTTTCTCAATATTCAATCATAAATAAATTAAATACCAGTTTATATACTACAGTGATCATAATAATATTTACATTTACACTCCAAAATGTATTCATACAACACAATTGCAAAGTTGTCAAAGAACAAAACAAATCAACCACTGATTGATGAAAAGCGGACGATCTATATTGTGTATATCAACCATGGAGGCTACATACATATTCTGTAACAAAATATGTTGATATAAGAACAATTTACTTTGAAATAATCATTCCATTAACGTAAAAACATCATAAATAATTAAACATAAATACTTTAACCTAAGAAATTGTTCTCATAATAATATATTTTTGTTATAGAATGTGCGGCATCTGCATCTGCTGCGCGGGTACACGAATACCGTCGCCGACTCCTTTTTTTTTGTGCCTTGTTCGGTGTAGTAACAACCATCTGTGACGGTCATGTACCGGCCGACTGCTTTCTGCTTTGATAAGTCTCCATGATACCAATCATGTCCGCCATAGGGACTGTAAAATGATAAGATTTCCGTTCCGATACTCCAGACTTGATACTTTGCATCACCGCTGACCGTGAGGACCCCTGGTGCCTTTCGCGAAGATTACTCGTAAACGTATAAGTTACCAACGGAGCTTGTTATCTCTTTAATTATTTATTTACATTCCTTTTTTTATGAATATGCAGATTTCGTTCGAGTATAACACACAAATTTGGTACGTGAATGAGATTTGAAAACAAACATTTTCAAAAAGTAATAACCATTTACTCAATTTTGTATGCCTTCGTCTTTTGAAATTCTTGAATTTATGCAACTGATGTGAGTATTCCACAAATATCATGTCGTTACCAAACATGTACGTATGTTGTATTTATACAACATATAATAGTACATTACGATACAAGTGCGGGAAATTGGATTCTTGACTCGTGTGGTGTTTACACCCGAGCGAAGCAAGGATGGAAATATTCGCGAGACGAGAAACTCTTTACCGAACATGTGCCGTACCGTATTTTTTGATACCATGTGTGGAAAGTGTGATTTTCAACGCACGTTTTCTACCGAGCATGCGGGAAAGACGCACTTTGCGCACGGAGTATCGAAATTATATATACAATTGCAATTCATTGGAAAAAAAATTAAACCTTGGGTACGTAATTTAATAAAAGAATATGTAAATATATAAGCATATAAATTGATTATCAAATTTATTATTATAAATAAAGACACTCACACTTATATTTGTACATAAATTTTTATTATTTACAAGCATGATTTCATTGTGCTTCCTTAGGAAAGCATTCTTTTCACGATACTTGAAATTTGTCTGTATTTTACTCTAATTATTTTGTTTCCATTTTTTTTTCGTTAAATTTTTTCTTTGCTGTTTGGTTTTCTAATTCTTGTGATATAATCATATATAATTATTGTGATATAGTTACATGTAACATATAATGATTATGATGTTTTTTCGTTTGAATTAATGAAAAGTCTACAAAATCATTTTTTCTTGCTGTCGCTTTTTTTGTTTGCTTTCTCTATATATGAACCATCTATAATTTTTATGTTATTGAAAATCTTACTGTAACTTTGTATGTTTTTTATAATTTATTGCACCGACGCATATATCTTTGTACAATAATATATTCAATTTCGTGATTTTAAAACTATAGCATACACAATTTTGCAAATGATTATTATTTGTCAGAAAATACTATTTGCTATCGGATTGCTTTTACTATAGAGTTGACATTATATTTATATAATGGCCACTCTATTACTGTTATAACAAGCAGTGAAGGATGAATAGTGAGTGACACGCCGACCGTTTCGTATAGCTGGATGGCTGACCTCAAATTCTATTGACATTGTTCTTAAGATTTGGGAAGGATTTTGCTAAACTTACTACTAATAATATATTACTGTGTTAAGCCCGACATCGCCAGAGATGGCGCCGCCTGGATCAAATCTGGCAGATAAAAATTAAGAGAATTAATCGACCAACTCGTTGGATGCTTTTATAAGTTTGAAAAGTTAACAATCAGAAACAATTTTTTGTAATAAACGATAAACGAACGATGTCATTAGATAGTTCATCGAATAAGCAACTACTTTTGTTATTGTCATTCACAGTTATCATTGGTTCGTCACAAATAATATCTTAAAAATAACAATTAGTACATCACGATACAAGTGCGGAAAAATAAATTTTACAAGTTTGAAATCGAGCTAAAAATTTAGAAAAAATACTTTTGAAATAATTATCAATTTCGTAAACTGCCAGCAGTCAGAATAAAATCGCTGGAAAATCCATAATTTAAGGAAGAAAAAATTAAAAAAATCATTTTGATTTATACATAAAGGCTTGCGAACATTAGCCGAAGCGGCGCACACATGCAGATTGCGGCTTGGGTACGCACTGCTGCTGGCCATGCTGGAGCTCGATTATTTTATCGAGGTCCAGCTTGGCTTGGCCGATCCCGCCTAGCCGTTTACAGCAGCAGTGGCTTTGCAGTGCGTATTCACGCCACATGCGTACCCCACTTTGGCTATGTCCGTAAGCCTTAAAGTATAGATCAAAACGATTTTTTTTATTTCTTATTCGTTAAATAATTCTTTTTAAATTTTATTCTGAGTACTGTTAGTTCATGAGATTAACATTTGGTCTATAAATAATTTTTTTTTAAAACATTTTTTATAAATTTTCAGCCTAATTCAAACTTTGCTGAAGCGTACCACCTATAAATTATTTTATTATTTTTAAGATATTAATTGTGGACGAATTGATAAAATGACAAAAGTTGTTGCTTACTTTATGAATTATCTAATAGCATTATTTGCTTATCAATTATTGCAAAAAAAATTGATTCTTGATATTAACTTTTTGAGATCCGAATTTTGTTGTGTACATTATTGACCCGTCTTGTACATTTCTTCATTTACTTCCGATAGATATTAATTGCCCTTTAAAAAAATTAATATATTAATTATCTATTAAGACAAAAAATGGTACGTCATGTCTTCCTAATCAAAAAATAAACTGCTGTTAATCACAAATATCTTCGTGATATAATAATTACTTTATCCGGCTCTTCTACTACATGGGGTGCATGCAAATATCTGTTCATACGAATTAAAAAGAACTTCACGGTACCTAAACTATTCAACTAGTTGTCCAAATACTATGAGATTTTTTAATATTTCAATTATTTGTTTGACAAACATGAAAGCTGTACAAACTTATGAAGGACGTATTTGGTTAGGATCAATGTTCTCAAGAAAATAATAAACATTCCATTTCTCTACGAAATAACTATGATTCGCAATACACACAAGAAATTATAAAGTTATCGTAATATTTATAGACATAAAATGAAAAGAACATGTTTATTCTTGAACAACTGAATAAGGATTTTTGATTTATCTTTATTATTTATAATTAACTTGCAACAATCATCATTTTCCAACAACAGCTAGAAGACAATGATAATTAATTTTGAAGTTAACACATAAAAAGTCAATCCCTAACAAAGCTCTATCACAACAAGTAACGTGTAAAAATAACTATTCTAAATATATGATAGTAGAAAATAGCAAAAAAGCTCGTATCTAACAGCTCATGAGAAAATTAACAAAATAATAATATGAGCAACAGCAGTAGCCGCTTCTCAGGCGTTTCACGGCGATTAACATAAATTAAAAGAATTTTTAATCTAATGCCTCGAACCTGTAAGTGCTGGTAATATAGTTGGCACACGAACGAACGAAAAAAAAGCGCGCAAGCTCGCCATCGGGAAACTCATTATGCAGCGACGTTAATCATCCGGCGCGTAGGTATAAAGACGCCGAACAATGAAGCGCTGCCGCGCGCAAGCTGCAAATTCTTTGCCGGAGAGGTCCGATCTGATAGTATAATATAACGCTATAGTAGTAGATAGATAGAGAGAGAGAGAGAGAGAGAGAGAGAGAGAGAGAGAGAGGAGTTAAGCTAAGCTTGTTGTGTATGTGTCTGCTTTGACCGGCAACGATAACGGAATTAACGCGCCGCCGAGGTCTGTTTACTGGCCGGCCTAACTGTTTTAACCAGCAAGCGACTGACCGCTCGATAAGTCCCACGCGGATTTATGCTCTTAGCCTCGCCTTTGTTGTCGTGAGCTTTCGCTTTTTTTTTCTTTTTTGCTTTTTTTTATAGACGCAAGCCCGTCGCGTTCTGTGATGTCTAAAGCGAGACCGTATTGTTGTGTGCAGCCGACGCTCGAGTTTATGTGCCGCGCTGCACTGGGGAACGAGAGGGTTTGTATTTCACACAATAACGAAAATATTGAAGATACGATTGAGTACGCTGCAAACTCGCCAGCGTCATTTAGCTCTGTTATTGCGGAAGCATTTATTTTATAAAATGCCTGCTATAATAAGTTTTTAGTTTGGCTTACAGATTCTGATATTCTAATTTTACGGATTTTCGAGCTTTCGAAGAGCGAAACTCTCTTGGAAAATGGCTCGTTAAAATTGGCTTTTGGTGTGCCTTTTCAAAGCGCGCCCGGTTCAATGGGAAAACGGAGAAAGCTCTTGATAAAAATGCCAAGCTTCGGGATTACCGCTGCTAAAGTACTATTTTTCACGAAATGGAAATAAATATTTAGAGCTATCCACGGGTTCATATGGCTTTCATACGAATCCAAAATAATTCGCTGACGTTTATTCAAAGCGAACCTCGAGCGTCTTGTAGTCAGAAATCCGCGCGCGGAAATATATAGAGATACATATATTTTTTTCGTACTTTACGCAAGTTCGAATGGAATTGCAACGGGATTTCAAGTTTCAGACCAGGCAGCCACGGGGATCAAGTTCCGATACGCCGCGCAGGCTTGCATTCAACATTCATGCACCGCGAGCGCAAAAAGAGAAAGACTCGTATGCGCACGCCCTAACGGAGGCTTTCTCCTCGCGAGCTTATCCCGCAAGCGCGCAAAAAAAAACGCCACACGTGCGTTTACGAGTCATCGTTGCCGCTGTGAGCAGAACCCCGGTGGCGTGTGCAAAGCTCCCATTCATAATTCAGTGACAACCGACGGCCCAAAGCTCGTGGCCGTGTAGGAAAAGCCTCGCTCGCTCTCTCTCTCTCTCTCTCTATCTCTCCCTGCGAACATCCTTCTCTCTCTTTCTCTCTACAGAATCCAAGGGAATTTCAATATTGCTCTTTATTTGGACGGCTGCGGCGGCATCGAGCCAAAGAACTGCTATACGTGATCGGGCGGCAACTTTGCGATGAAATTAATCTTGCGAGGGTGGTAAGGGAGGGTAGAACAGCCTCGAGAGTAAGTTTC